AAAAAGAGAGGTCCTGGCTTAAATCTGAGGCTCTTGATCGAATGGCGTTACTCGTGCATAGACCGGATGGTCGCTCCACCCCTAATAGTGCAACTTGCCACATGGTTCATTGCTATTGGTTTAACTCGTAGCATTCACAATGACATAAACTTGTTCTTCCAGAGTGTTTGCCTCCCTCATGGTTTGATATTCTTCCACCACATAATTCTCTCAAGTGTGGGGGGAATTTATATGCTTGATTGAATGATTTTTTCCATAGTTTGGTAGTAGCCTCCCTTAGTCATGAATTTAAGACGTTGATGATCGTTAGCGGGAATGGTTTCTATCGATTTGTTGTGTATTGGTGTGTTGAATGGCTTATATTTGGTGTTTAGAGCCTTGATGACATACCCAAAAAAAATTCAAATTTGAGGGTTCCAATCTTGCTCCAGGTCATACACCTCCTGTACACACTTCACACAACACAAACGAAAGCCAAAACAAGTATGATCCAAACTCAAATTGCAAGAAAATAAATGCTAGATTAAAAACATACAACTTTTTTCAAATAATAGACGGTGTTCCCTGGCAACGATGTAAGAAAAACTTGACTCGCTACCACTACAACACTATCCCAACTATAGGCCAAGTGAAACCTATAATCGGGTATAGGATATGATAAGTATTTCAATATCAACGCGATGCAGACTATCTGTTCCTACTTCAACCGTCCACACGATAAACTATTGCAACTAAACAAGCAAGCAAAGTAAACATTGGTGAATTCAAATGAGAAAGGACCACTCAGACGATATTCACCCTAGTTCATGTTGAGATGCAACTGTGACACTGTAATTTGATAGGTGAGAGTTTATATACCATTAGGAGCGATAAAGTAGCTAGGACCCCTTATTCGATTTCATCCTAGCCCGCTCAATCGAGCTAATCAAAGGGACGTACCTCATACCCGCAAAAGACAATTAAGGCGTTCGATTCTACTCCCTCGAGTTAAACCCTAAACGACGCACAAGTCAATTAAGGCGTTCGATTCTACTCCCTCGAGTTAAACCCTGAACGACGCAAAATAACTAATCATTCTAAATCATAGCACTCTATAGTAATTGAGGATTGGCCCAAATTTCCTAAGGGGAACTTCTACCTCCTAGGTTAATTTTCCCCAAATTGGAAGATTTGATCAAGAACACCAAATTTCATGAAAATACCTCAATCACATATATATATATATATATGTTACAAATACAATACCCATTCACAATAGAGCACACAACCTACAATCTACAACATATAAGGTTCCTATCATCCAAGTGACAAGGTGGACTACTCTATAGCTAGAAGAGAAATAGTAACTAAGATAGAGGAAAAACCCATCGCAAAGTGATTTCCCCTCATCCTAGATGCTTGCATTGATCCTTAGAGTAGAAATGTGCCCACCAATGGCCTTTGACTAAGTCAATTTGTCCTCCCTTCCTTCCTTTCTCGAAGCCTTCTCTCTTAATGCTGGAAGAATAGCCTTTCACTCTCTCTAGAAATCTCCCCTTTCAAAATTTAGCTCACTCTCCGTTATGTAGCTCCCAACTTCTCATATCACGGTTTCTCTTCACGCCCGTGAAGTCGGTAATGAATCCATGATCACGGTACAAAACGAATTGCTTCACTAACATAATTCATGGGTTTCTTGCTGACTTCATGGTTTGGAGAACGTGATCCTTGCAACGCTTGCGAGCCACGTGAAAGCTCATGGAAGTGTGCAGACTTCACGGTCTGCCGTCCATGACAATAGCTCCCAAACCGTGATCCTCGCACTTTCGCCTATTTTGCTCTCTTTTTGCCCTCTTTGTCTGACTTTTGATCCAGTGCCAAAATTACCTACTAAGATCTGAAACTGGACACAGCACGAGAAAACCTAGACGGTGCAAGGCAAGGGGTATAAAAGTGTGTAATCTATCCCGAATTTCAAAAAAAGAACCCACATTAATGCTAGTCGTTGAGATGAATATAGACGGTGGAGATTGCTGGTGTACGACATATACCCCAATATATGTCTGGTGTATGATAGAAGTCACCATATATATATATATATATATATATATATATATATATATATATATATATATATATATATATATATGGACCATTCTATCGTAAACCATCCAAATATGGTGGTATATCGTACACCACCCATCTCTAGCCTGCAATCCATCTCAACGGTCGAGATAATTAGCGGGCTCTATTTTTGTGGAATTATAATAAAATTACATTACCAGTTCCCCATAACTCAAAAACGTTACATTCTAATCCACTTTCGTCGGATGGTCAGTCAGGACGTACGAAACAAAGTTATATTTTGGCCAGACGACCCAACCCTCATCTGCAAACCACCCAACCCTTTTCTCCTCTTTTCGTACCGCCAGCCCTTCCTCCGTCTCGCGTTCTCATTCTCTTTCTTTCTCTCTCTGTTTCTATCTCCCATCTCTCACCGTCTCCTCCATTGCGACAATCGATTCCATTTAAATCAATTCCAATTCCAGTCCAAAACTTTGGATTCACAACCCCCGTTCTCCGTTGAATTCGATCCAAGCAATTACGATGCACACACTCTTCCTCTTTCGTCCTTCTATTGAAACAATCATTCGCCATCTCCGACCATGTCGTACACCATGCAATCTCCACCGTCCGCGTCCATCTCAACGGCTAGTATAAATGCGGCAGTTTATTTTTTTTTAATTCCTTAAAAACAAAACTCATATTAATGCTGGCCGTTGAGATGGATGTGTACGGTGAAGATTGCTCATGTACGACATACCCCAATATATGTATGGTGTATGATAGAAGTGGCAGGGAAACCTACTGCGGTCTCTCTCTGCATAAGGGGCTGAAAACACACATGAAGTGAGAATTTTTAATATTTAAAAATGAAAGAAACCATGCAATTACCACATTATTCTTCATTAACGAAAAAAACTTGGCTCGTTAATAAACGAGTCGAGTTTCGAACAAGTATTTCCCTAGCCGAACATCAAACTGCTAAAGAGCAACTTGGCTCATTTGCAGCCCTAGTTAAAATATACATAGTCATGTGACTAAAGCTCACACTTAATCACCTGATCTTGACACGGTGTATTACTACACATACAATCCTTCATTAAATATATTATAATGTGATACTTTGTTATGTTATCTATTACTATGTAATATTTTTAATTGATAAATTTCAGTTTCATTTGGTATTATCCAAACACGGCTACCTAAATTTATCGGTACAGAATTTTGATAAAAAATATTTTGTTATTCCAAAAGCAGTAGTTTATCGATACAAAAGGATTAATCACGGGAGCAGATCTAGTCAGTAACCTTGTGGTGCAATAACCCCATGCATAACCCAATAATAATCCGCCACATCAGCGCTAGGGCTGGCTATTTGGTTTTACCAGAAGCCGGATCGTATAACCCAGACCGGGACCGGACCAAAACCGGATAGCAAACAATTTAATCCAATCTTCGGGCTTAGATTTGAGGTAAAAAAACCATTTGAGACTGGGTAAACATCGGATAAAGACCGATTAAGATAACCCAACACCCAAAACTTTACCAACTCCTTACTCTTAGAGTCCTTAGGCCACTCAAATTCCCACAAGTTCAATCTAAAATTAAGACAGAATTGGGACAAGACCGGGTTAAGACCGGACCGGATCAAGACAGGACTGTATCCAATCCAATTTTTGGTCCTTATATTCTCGAAAAGACCGGACTAGGACCAGATCAATTCAGGTCAATTTAACCGGACCGGACCATATTGCAACCCCTAATCAACGACTCCTTCTCTCTACTTGAAAACTGTAATTTTCCTTCCCTTAATCTTAATGGATGATTTCTCACTCGTTTTAAGTCGGAATTTAATAATTATTTTTTTGCACAGTTAGATCAGATTAATTGTGCTCTTCAAAATGATATCCACTTTGATATTTTTTGGAACAAAAAAATTTACCAGTTATTACCCGTCTATACCATATGGTATTGAATGGTATTAAATAAGATTATACCATATGATATGAAAAATACCACCCCATACCAGGGTGGTATAGTATGGTATGGACTTGGTAACGAGAGGTATGGAATTTTTTCACCCATAAATTTTTGAAATCCAATAGATCATAATTAAATCGTTCCTTTTGTGCAAAAATTTCCGAAAATGATAAAAAAACGAATGAGATACCATATGATATATAGTTGGTAACGAGAGGTATGTAAATTTTTTTTTCTAAAAAAATAATGAAAATGGATTTCATTTTGTAGAGCACAACGAACTCGGTTTATCTGTGCAAAAAAATTGAAATCCAAGTTAGAATGAAAAAAATATGATCCAATAGAAAAAATTAGGGAAAATAAATTTCTTTAATCTCCACCCTTAAATCTGTAGTCTCTTAAAAGAAAGGTCAAATTTGATTACTCGTAGTTATACACCCTAATATTATGCACCCATCTTGAACCATTAATCATAATCTTTAAGTTTTAACACAAAATATCATACAACCCTTTGTTCAAAATATAGAGAGGGTGAAGGAAAATGCTCGCTGAAACACATCCCTAAGTTCTTTCCTCAGCGCCGGCGGCAGCCCAAACTGGCCGCCCCCGGATGCTTCTACCCTTCCAGAAACCTCTGTAGCTTCAACAGACAAGACAATGACCCCGTCCAGCCTACTGAAACGACTCTAGTAAACCCACCCACCTTTCCGCCGCTGGACTATAAGTCAGCACTGTCAGGCCAAGGCCCCGATTCAAGAACCACTGTTAATCGATGGACCTTAGTTGGGGAACATGATCTGGTGGCCGCCTCCTTTGCGGGGGAACCAGAGTTGAAAGTCTCAGAAAACCTCAAGGAAAGGCTTTGTAGCCCTTGGAAGAAGACGCTTGTTATCCGACTGCTGGGTCGATCGGTTTCTTACAACCACTTGTGCTCGCAACTCAGATGGAAGTGGCATCCGATCGGGTCAATGGACATCATGGATCTCAATAACGAGAAGTTTCTGTTAACGTTCTCCAATGATCAAGATTATCTCAAGGCATTAACGGGCGGACCATGGGAAATTCTCGACCACTACCTTGTCATACACCCCTGGTCACCCAAGTTCAGGACATCCGACAAGATACACAAATCAGTCACCGCCTGGATCCAATTGCCAGAGCTCCCTGTGCACTTCTATCACCGGGAAGTTTTATTCGCCCTTGACAATCTCATAAGTAGAACTGTTAAGCTGGATTACCATACAGAGATGCTTGAGAGAGGGAAGTTTGCAAGGATCGCCGTAGAACTTGACATGACGAAACCACTCCCAACTCGCATCCGCCTAGACGGATTCTGGCAACAAGTTCTGTATGAAATCTCCCACAAATATGCTTTGATTGTGGAAGAATCGGCCACACTGAGGATACCTACCCAAAGAAAATGAGCAACCCAACGACAGAACCAGCTTCAGGGGCGATGAATCAACCTGCGAGCGCTGCCGTCCACATTGATTCGCCGGCAGAACCACCGACAGGCTAATGTCCGTGGATGCAAGTGGTGCGCAAATCCCGCAAATAAATCAGGAAAGCCAGCGATAGTCAAGGTAACCAAAAAGAAAATCAACAGGAAAAGCCTACCAATCAGGGCAAACAAACGGTCAAAACTATGGGATCGTCTAAGGGCGCTACTCTCGGCTCTACGAACATAAATGATGGAAAAGGAAAGGGGAATCACAAAACAGAACACAAGAAAGAAAAACCGGATTTGCAGAAGGGGAAAGTCACAGCGGACGGAGGTAAATCTACGCAAGGAAACAAGAAGACTAATAACGGCCACCAGGAATGGGCCCCGGTGGGAGTCTCAAAAGCATCCTTTAATGACCTAAACCCGGTTACTGAGTCTGGGCCGCAAAGTTAGATCCCACCTATAGTTGGCCCCAACAGCCCGGCCACGGTTATTTCCTCAGCTAACCCAAGTATGGCGAGGCCAAGGCCTAAGGCTACACTGAAGGAAAATACAGACCCCAATGTGAACCTCCATTCAGTCAGGCAACACTTCGAGAAGAGGAACACAACCGGATCTCTTGGTTCTGGGAAGAATGTGGATTGTCATCTGAAAATTGCCAAGAAGCCAATCCACAACACCACCGGGACAAAGCGCGAAGTGAATCAGCTGGTTAAAGAACCCACTTTCCTTATTACCCAGCGGGATATAGAATCCTTCATTCTCCAATCTAAGCGGAAAGCGGAGGAATTCGACAAAACCTCGACCACCGTGGCTAATGATCTCAAAATGGAGGACAGTGTGGCTCCGCTCGGAGCTCAGGCGACCAACCCAGAACAAAGAACCCCTCCTCCGCCAATTTGCGCGGACTAAAAGGGAGTCCCTTACCACCCTTCCCTCCCTTCTGTTTCAATGTTTAGTGTTTTTAGCTGGAACTGTCGAGGGGCTAAAAGCCCCAAATTTCTTTATGTCTTTAAAGAATACATGCTTGCGTTTAGACCCAATATTGTCTTCATCGTTGAGCCTAGAACAAGTGGTAAAGAGGCCGATGCAGTGATTGCTAGAATGGGGTTTGACCGCTTTGAGAAAGTTGATGCCATAGGTTTCTCTGGGGGAATCTGGATCCTCTGGAATTCTGCGGAATTATCTATTACCGAACTAGATAGAGACACCCAGTTCTTACATTTTTCGATGTTTGGATTTGCAGGATAATCGTATTGTGGAAATGGCAGCCATCTATGCTAAGCCAAATGATCACGACCGTCTTCCACTTTGGGATTCCCTTCGGCGGATTAACCAGACTTTGAAGAACCCGTGGCTTCTTATTGGGGACTTCAACTCTATATGCAATCCTTTTGATCGGTCGGGAGGCGCTGGTTTTAATGCCCAGAGAACCACTTCAGCGACTCTAATCTGATTGATGTGGGGTTTACTGGTCCACGGTTTACCTGGACCAATGGTAGACTGTCTCAACGCCTGGATCGCGTCCTTTGCAATAGGGACTGGCTAGAATGCTTTCCTGACACCTTTACTACTCACCTGCCCCGAGTTAGATCTGATCACCGACCAGTCCTCGTCCGGAGTTCGATTGAGTATCCTGCCCCACGCAAGGAAAGACCTTTCCGGTTCTTAGCAGCCTGGCTCTCCCATGAATCTTTCCCTAATACCATTGAAACAGCCTGGAACCGTGGTGGAGATTTCAACCTCTCCCTCCTCGAACTGCAAGAGGCACTTCGAATTTGGAACAAAGATATTTTTGGCAATATTTTCAAGAGGAAGAGATCCTTGTCGAGACAGCTAGCTAGATGGGAGCTCATCAATGATCGAAACCCCAACCCAAGGGCTATGCAAGAAGAATCTCGTGTCAGGGAGGAGTTAGAGAAAACCCTCTGGCAAGAAGAGTTACTTTGGCTGCAGAAATCCAGAGACAATTGGATTAACAATGGAGACAACAACACCCCCTTCTTTCACTCTTCCACCATTGCCCGGAGAAGAAGAAATAAGATATTAAGGTTGCAAAACAACGATGGAGTCTGGATTGAAAATCCGGAGACGCTGCAGAAAATGGCTCGAGATTTCTACGTTGAGTTATTCACTGTAGATACTAATATAACGCAGAATTTCTATGCGGACTTCAAGGCAATGGATGGTGCTACTCTGAACAGGCTGGCCGCTACTCCTTCTTTAGAGGAAATTCGCAGCATCATCAAGAACATGGGAAGTTTGAAAGCTCCCGGCAAAGATGGATTTCATGCCATCTTCTACCAACGTTGTTGGAACACCATTCAGGACGAGCTCCGAGATTTTATTACCAAATGCTTCCAAGAACCCGAAGCAATTAGAATCTGTAACTCGACACTGCTCACTCTGCTGCCTAAGGTGGATAGCCCGAGTAATATGACTCAATTTAGACCGATCGGGCTATGCAACGTCAGTTATATGATCATTGCGAAATGCCTGGCTGACTGTCTTAAGTCGCTGATGCCCGAGCTAGTTGATGAGATTATACAAACCAGTTTTGTCCCCAGACGTCACATAACCGGCAATATCATCATCCTCCAAGAGATTATACACACCATGAACCTGAAGAAGGGTGCAAAGGGGTCAATGGTGATGAAAGTTGATTTGGCTAAGGCGTACGACATGATTAATTGGAGCTTCCTCCTATCCACTCTGGAGGCTGCGGGCTTCCCTCGGGACTTCATCTCTCTTATCATGGCTTGTTTCACGACAACCAGCTTCTAGGTTTTGTGGAACGGTAACTGCACCGAGGAATTCAAGCCCACTCGCGGACTTAGACAGGGATGTCCCCTCTCTCCATATCTTTTTACTTTATGTATGGAGCGCTTAAATCATAACATTAAAAAGTTTGTGGAGTGTGGGGACTGGAAACCGATCTGCTTATCTAAGAATGGACCACCGCTTACCCATTTGTTTTTCGCAGATGATCTTGTGCTCCTTGCAGAGACGGATGCTAGACAAGCCAGGGCAGTGATGAACTGCTTGGATCAATTTTGCTCAGCCTCTGGAGAAAAAGTCAGCAAAGAGAAGTCGCGAATCTATTTCTCGAGTAATACTAAGGAAAGTACCAAGAGTAGGCTGAGTGGTCTAATGGGAATTCCTCTTACTAATAACCTTGGTAAGTACTTGGGTGTTCCGGTTATCCACGGCCGCGTGACCAAGGAAACCTAGAAGTATATCCTCGAGAACATAAACAAGAGACTTACGAGCTGGAAAACTAAAAGCTTGTCGCTAGCTGGAATGGTTACCCTGGCTACTTCTATACTCAATGCGCTTCCTAACTACACCATGCAAACTGCCGTCCTACCCTGTCATGTCTGTGACCAGATTAATAAGAAGATTAGGGGGTTTGTCTGGGGCAGGGAAGAGGGGCAAAGGCTCATCTCGTCACTTGGGAGACTGTTTGCAAACCCAAAGAGGAGGGCAGACTAGGTCTTCGCTCGGCCAGAGCCTTGAACCTCGCGTATCTGATGAAGCTAGGCTGGCAGTTTCTTAATAATGAAGAAAATCTGTGGGTCAGGGTTCTTCATGGGAAATATATCAAGCAGAATGACGACGGAAGTGTGTCCTTTCACCAGAATCGGGTCTCTAGGCTTTGGAAAGGGATCAGGGAGGCTCTGCCCCTAGTGAAACAGAACACCATCTGGGATATCAGGGATGGGAGAAGTGTGAAATTCCGGAAAGATCACTGGATTTCAGCAGGCCTAGCTTTGAAAGACCATGTTGTCAATAATGAGCACACCATCCAGTGGGATAGTTCAGTAGCAGAGATGGTGGATTCCTCAGGTGAGTGGAACTGGCAAATTATTAAGAGGCACCTCCCTGACACAATGCTTTCTCTGCTTGCAGGTACTGATACGCCTCTTGAGGAAGCAGGGGAGGACTATACCATTTGGGACTGGAAGGTGACAGTCGTTTTCGTCTTGGCAGCGCATACAGGGAGGCGGTGGAATGGATGCAAGAAGAGAATCATGAGGAAGCTGACTTGAATAATCAACACAAATGGATGAATGCCTGGAAGTGGCCAGGACCCAACCGCATACGACACTTCCTCTAGTTGTCCTTACATGATCGTCTCATGATGAATTGCGAGAGAAAGCGAAGAAAGTTATGTGACAGGGACACGTGTGATCTTTGCAAATCAAGATCAGAGACGGCGGAGCACGTCATTCAAACTTACCCCTTGGCCATACAGGTATGGCGTTCCCTTGGTTTAATAGAGACCCCCCTTACACATGGATTGAATTTTGCAGGCTGGATGGCGACAAACCTGAAATAAGATGAAACGAACCTGTTATTCGGTGTCGCGGCCTAGTTCCTGTGGAGAAGAAGGAACGAATGGACTTTCGAGAAAAGATTCCAGGAGGCAAATATTCTGGCTCACCGAATCCAGCCCTGGACTTTAGCTATCAAGCAAGCTCAAGATAACAACCCGAAGCTCTTCACTGCGACGGCGGCCCCAAAGACAAGAAAGGATCTGGCATGGCAACCACCCCTCACTGACTGGATAGTAGTCAACTCCGACGGGTCTGTCAAGCAACCCAATTCGGCGGCAACAGCAGGTGGATTGCTTCGCAACCACCTTGGCAGAAGCGTGGGAGCTTTTGTCACCAATTTAGGCGTTTGGTCCATAACCAGGGCAGAGATTATTGGGGCACTCACAGGCCACCAATTGGCTTGGGAGCAAGGCCTCAGGAAAGTCCTTCTTCGCCTGGACTCTACTGCAGCTTTGGACATCCTGGCTGGGAAGGATCACGACAGTAGGTGCTACCACAACCTCATCCGGCGTTTCTAAAATATATTATAGCGTAATTGGGAGGTCCGTCTCTCTCATTCTTACCGCGAGTGCAACAAATAAGCGGCATATTATCTGGCAAACAAAGCCCATGGCTTTAGTTTAGGCACTCATTCCTTTGATATTTCGGACTCGGGTCTTAATTTTTGGACCTTGCATGACACCATGGGTATTACCCAAGATCGTTTAATTTAAGTTTCAGGGTGGGGCGCCCTTTTTGCGTCCCATTATAAATAAAAAAAATCATACAACCAACAAATCTGGGATAATTTTCGGTACGTTTTCGTAAACGGGGTCTCTCTACTAAACCCAAAACTGAGAAACCTAGCTGCTATTCATCTCCGCCTAGGACCGTCGGCGACGGCATATCGACTAACCTCCGCCGCTTCACCAACTACTGCATTTCAAACTATTATGAAACTCAATCATTCATATCTTAGAACCCTGCCTTCTGAATAGTCCATATCTAACGCCTTCTTCAGTGAAAGCTGCAACCTGCGAATTTAGCTCACGAAATGGCAGTTGCAGCTTTTCGTACTAATAAGCTGTCATCTCTCTTTCGCTCTCACGAAGGTAAGTTAACTTCCCTTGACCATCTGTCTTTCCGCTGCTTGCTTACCAATCCACCCTGTGATTTAATTCCGCTGAATTTCGTTTTCTTCTTCTCAGTGATATCCCAGGTCCTCATAAATTGCTCGTTTAGACATGTCTTTTCCACTAGCATTGTTCGGCATGAGCCAATACTGGTTAGTCCATCTCATTTCATTTTTGTTTTTTGCGCTCTTTCTTTTGAATCCCTAAACGTTATCTTCTATTGTGATTTTTGAAATGCAGGTGAGAGATTTCGTACATTCAGCCTTGTACGACCCTAACCATGGCTACTTCTCTCAGAGATCAAGATCAGTCGGGGTTATGGAAAAAAGCATCAAATTCGACCAGCTTGAGGGTAGTGCTTGTTCTTCTACTGAGATTCGGTCTACCTAGAATGAGTTTGCTAGGCTAATTATTATAGTTCTGTCTAGATCGAATTTTGGAAGTTCTGAACTTGAAATATCTGGATTTTGGACAGATAGCGAGGTTCGAATATGATTGGCTACTATGAAATTTGAAGTCGCTGAAGCTTGATTGTTGTTGCCACAATTTGTTTTGTTTTGTTTTGTTTTTCTTGAGTGTGTGTCTGCTTCTTTGCACTTGAAGCTCTAAGAATAAGTTTATGAATTCAGACTTTAGAGTTTAGACTACTGAAGAATTGATGCTTGCCTTTTGCATTTTTCAGGGAGGGAAGCTTATGTGAAGAAATTGGATAAAGTCTATAAGCAGAGTGACGTGTCATGGTTTACTCCAGTGGAGCTCTTCAAGGTTATCTTCCTCCATCCTCTATGTCATCCTATTTCTTCTTTCGTTTCCTGTTGGTCGGACTTTTGAGCCAATGTGCTTGAAATTTTCTTTTCCTTGTAGTTTTTGTTTATTGAGGGGGTACTTTCTTCTCTTTGCAGCCTTGGTATGCTTATGGGATTGCTGAGGCCATAATGCGTTCTGCTAACTTTTCACTTCCACTAAAAGTAAGATCCATGTCTTTTAAATGACCAATCGAGTCTACATTTTTCCATGTTGTTGACTGTTTTCCGTAAATTATTGATATGGTAGATTACTGGTAACTATCATCGTGCATAGAGCTAAAGTTCATTGGAGATGTAGTTAGTAGTGCTTGATGCCAATGGTTGTTTCTTTTCTTTCTATTAATGGTATGCCAGTGAGAATCTGGATTTCTTCCTGTTTGATCTGGAATGCATACAATACAGTTTCCAGTCATTCTGATTCGTTTCTGATTCATTTTTCTGTTAGTAAACCATTTCAAAGAGAAAATTTGTCTGCTAGAAGACTAATCTTTCTACTATTCTGTGGTGCACTCAGATTTATGAAATCGGTGGTGGATCAGGAACTTGTGCAAAAGGCATATTGGATTACATCATGTTGCATGCACCTGAGAGAGTGTACAACAATATGACGTATACGTAGGTGGAGTTATCAGATCCTTATCTATGCACCTAACACATTGTTTTTGTGTTTTGACTTATAGATGCTCTATAAAATCTCTCGGAATTCTTCAACTCTGTACCAGGGATTGTGAAATCTTTATGTAATGCTGAGTTGTAGTTGTGGTTCTTGTCAACCTAATAGCTAATTTCAGCATCTAATGTGAAAGTTGTAGGACATCAATAATTTACATCTCAACGCACTTAAACAACTAAATATCTTTTCCCATCATTTTTCTGTTCCGTTTCATTTTGTCAACTTTATGTTCTCTCACAGTTCCTCTGTTAGTTTCAGAGAGCACATGCTTGAGTTGGAAAGTTTTATTCTGTCCGAGCAAAAAGATGCCCAATCCGTGTTCTAAATTTTTGTTATCAATTCAACACAATTTATATACTTTTAGCTTCTTGGCACACTGTTGTCTCACACTTCATTTGGACTTATAACTTAAAATGGTTCATTTTTGTTTTTCCTTCTCTTACATTTATGTTGTTTGTTGCAGCTCAATTGAAATCAGTTCATCACTGGCTGAAATTCAGAAGAAAACTGTGGGAGAAATTCACAAACCAAAATTTAGGGTAGAAGGTCGTGATGCTGCTGACCGCAGCGGATGGGGTATGATAAATTAATCCTTACCTTTTTATTTATATATCATGAAACATCAAAATCTATTCTATATGCGTGTCAACAAATGGGTTACTGCTGAAATTTGCAATTCGTACGTTTCTTTTGTTACAATCATTTGGGATTGTTTGTCTGTGGCCGATTGCAGACAAGAGAAGGCACTCGTATAGCTACCTTTCCAACATTAGGTCCTACCAAATCCTGTTTCACAACATTAGAGATAGATAATCTAAGTGATGTCATACATCATCTGTTATTTTGTTGCTTGATTAGGCTAGGACTTATGCTTGTTATTCATATTACAATTAGCAAATCTTTTTTGTGTTTGCATGGACTGTTTATTGTCCTAGCGGGCTTTACCCACGTGGATTCATTAGTTAAAGCTGAGAGATGTGTACATTCTGAACAGGGGAGGTGGAGCAACAACCTTGTTGGGTGATAATGCTTGAGGTAATTTTGGCAAATTTTTTTTTTGTTGGTATTAATTGGATATCCCAGATATTGCACTGGAAAACATTGTTTTCTGCGAATTATGCGAACCAGTATAAGAAAAGAGGAATGATGGGATATCTACAAGAGTGGTTGCTTGTGGACAAACATTGTGGACCTTAACTCATTATTTTGCATATTTCAGGTTCTTGATAATCTTCCACATGATCTTATATATTCAGAAAGTCGGGCTGTACCGTGGAAAGAAGTATGGGTTGAGAAGCAACAAAATGGGTAGGCGAAAATGAGCTGCTGTACTCTGTGTCTGCGCATGGTTCCCATTCTCAAATTGTGGTTGGAGCTATGTTTTCTGTATGGTGAGCAGCAGTGCTGTTTATTTTTGCAGGGAAACCCTGTCTGAGCTATACAAGCCACTACAAGACCCATTGATCAATCGTTGTATTGAGATCATGGAATCTAAGGACGATAAGTCTATCTCAAACTTGAGAAACCTTTGGTTTAAGCTCTTTCCAAAACCTCGAAGATGTTGGTTACCTACGGGATCATTGGTACGGAATGAATCTGTGTGTGTGTGTATTTGTGTGAGGTATGTGGTTTCCCTTTTATTATCATATCAATCTTTGTAGAAATGAATGTAATCTGTCAATTGCAGAAACTACTGGAGGTGTTGCATGAGGCATTACCAATGATGTCGTTAATAGCTTCAGACTATAGTTACCTACCAGATGTGACTATACCTGGAGTGAGGGCGCCTTTGGTCTCAACCAAGGTAAGCTTTTTGTTTTCTTCTGTTTCATAATTTTTCTTGCGAGCTGTCAAATTAGTGCCTCAAGATGAACCTAGATTTTAGTTTTGGGTGATTGTTAATCTGACTGCTTTGTTGGAATGATAGTGCGAGTAAGATGTTCACTAAAGTATTGAAGTCAGTATAGAATTCAGACAACCATTTCTTCATAGTGAACCTTGGTCTTTAGCTCATTAGATAGCAGATAAAAGCATGTGTATGACAACGAACTTGGTTTATTTCTGATATGCAGAAAGATGGTCAGAGCTCAGACTACAAAAGTTATCTGGATGCAAAGGTCCGTTAGTTTTTGTTGCATCCCTCTTCCTCTTTGCTTTGTACCCCAACATACAGTATGGTCGTACTTCAACAAGTTGTCTACTACCAAATGTAACATGCATCTAACCCATAATTGCAGGGTGATGCGGATATATTTTTCCCCACGGATTTCTGGCTTCTGGAACGGATGGACCACTACTGTTCTAAGCTGAAAGTAGGAAGAAATAAATCATCCAAAGAAGTGAAGAAAAGACGAACACTTGTAGTAAGTAGTTAATTTGTTTGTTGAATGCGGTAAATAGTTTATTTACATTTTGACTATTCAAATTTTTTGTGCTCCTCCCTGGTATGGAAACATAGTTATGAAGAGTTCATGACCAAATGTTGTCGTAGATTGAAACAACATGCAAACTAACCACTGAGCAAATTACACTTTCATTCACAAACATTTCTGCTCTGCGCCATTGCAGCTCGACACAGCGGCATTCATGGAGGAGTTTGCTTTGCACACCAAGACTAGAACCAAGGATGGATACAACCCATTGCTAGAAGACTTCAGTAACACCAAGTTCTATATTAGTGTTCCAACTCATAACATTCAGTAGCCTGTCCCAGTCCTGCAGCCATTATGTTTGTTCTAGATAATCTCTGTCAACTGAAGGAAATGAAATTTTGTTTTCTTTGCATCTATGTGCAGTGGTTGAGCTAGGGGGTTTAGGCTCCGGTCCGTCACACGACACATATAAGTTTTGATAAAATAATAAAATAAATTTAAATGTATGCATATGGAATTTTACATTTATTATAGGCAAAATACAATTGTATATCCACAACTCACAACTATTAGGTTTATGACAAATAGGCTTAATAGCAAGTTTGGTCACTCAAATTGCTATAAAATTTCAAGTATGCCACTCAAATTAATTTATTTAATTTATAGTCACTTAAATTAGTTGAACAGTCCAAGTTCGGTCACTCTTTGTTAACCTTTGTTAATGATGACCGTTAAGTGATGATGTGGGTAACAGACAATCACAGTCACCATATTTTTACACTAGAAACCAACGACCTGACCTGCCACGTTATATTTACCCGCCATGTCAGCCCTACTTGCCCAACCCGCGAACCAACCCAATAATTGACCCAACCCCAAACTCGAGACCCCCCCCCCCCTAATCTAGCTCTTTTTATAAGTCTACCTCCTCTAAGTGAAGAACGACATCTCCCTAACCATCTTCTGTTCTCTTCCTCCTTTTGAATCTGCCAGAGAATCGCCCCCTCCCCATCCATTTGTTCCTTTCCTCCTCCTCTCACTTCCCCTCTACCAATTGCGACACCCTTCTATCATTGTGAAGAGCCAACAGATCTGAAGACGAGCTGGACTGAGGCGAATCCAGTGAGAAGGTTTTATGGATGCAGCAGATATGGGTAAGATTTCATCCACCTTTGTTTCATTTTTAATGTTGCAATTCGACTATTATTTTGCCTTTTTCATCCTTCTATTTTTTCTGTGCGATGATGTGTAGACAAATGGAGCATGTAACTACTTCGAATGGCTTGACCCAGCCCTTGATGAGCATATGAGAAATGTGGTGCTAAACTTTCATTGTCGAATTCGGGAGCTAGAGAAGAGGCAAAACAAGGAGGTGTCCAAGTTTGATCGGAAAATGGTGTCATTCATCATTTTAGGAGCTATTGTATTCTCTTTGTTTTGGATAGGAAAGTGATAAGTCGTCTGTGTAGTTATAGCTATTGTAATCTATTGATGTGTAGCTGGTGTAGTGGAATGATTCTAGTTGTTGACAATGTGTAACCTATTATTATCCATTTCAGCTATGGTGACTTGAATTGCTAAATTGTTTCATGTTTGGTCACTTAAATTGCAAATCGGTATCATGAATGGTCACTTAAATTGCACATTCATTTTATATTTGGTCACTGTAAATGCAAAATGGTTTTAACTTTGGTCACTTGAATTGCAAATTGGTATCATAATTGGTCACTCAAAGGTAGCAACACGAATGGAACAACAAGGCACGTATTTGTGAAAAAGAACCTTCCAATGTACTGGAAGATTGATAAACCTGATAGTCATTCATAGAACATATAGTCTTACAAGGTCCAAATGATAATTATAGCCTCGAGGACAGTGTTTTTCCAAAAAGAGCAATTCACCATGACCTAATAGGCTGGCTAATACGACAAAGCAACATTCAACGTCTACATTTACTAGCCAATTGGAGGCTTCAAAATGGTAATTATCATTTGGACCTAAACTGCAACTAATCTTGACTCGTTCTCTTGAGTCACTTGGCTTGCATTTTGCGATCCTCCACATCCTTGGTTAAGTTGCTGTGATGCCTGAATTCGTGGCCTCCTAGTAGTTCCCTACAAAGTTAAAGCGACATTAGAAGATAGTAGGACATGATTAGAAAGAAAAATTGTACAAGTGAATGGATCAATACATCTAGCATGAGCTGGACAGTGTTGGGCTGACTCATTGGCGCTTTTGCAGCCCTCTGTTGCTGCCTTTGTATGGCTCCGATTTTTTCGCTATTTCGAGCTGTTTCGCCTTTCTAGCTTCTTCCTTAGCCTGTTCCTTAGCTTGTCTCCTTTCCTCCACCTGTTTATTCCTTTCTTCATTATGGAACAGTTTGGTGTGCCCAACTACCCCACATGTAGTGCACACATTCTTCATTCCTTCCGGCTTTGATGATTCCCTTTCACTATTCTTCTGTTTCTTCTACCCCTTCTCATCCTCATCGAGTCCCTTTCTTCGTTGCTTCTTTGGTATACCCCTCTTTTTCGAGTTTGCAATTGGAGGGACTCCACAATCTCCCAACTCAGAAACTGCCCAATACTCCTTGCCATTAGTAGGTGAAATGGAGAACTGGTAAATCTTAGCCGCTGTTTCCCTCAGGTAGCAATCAACAACATTGTCCTTGATCAAAAACTATCCTGATTTCCTGAATGGCATGCGCACACGGAATGCCGATCAACTCCCAATGTCTACACGTACATGTCTTCTTCTTCAGATTGACCACAACTTGGTGGTTGTGCCACCTCACCTCAAATTGACCGTTTCCATTACTTTCTGCTGACCACTTCAATGCTTCTTCAGGAGTCTCGTCTAACTCCTTCTCAATCTTCTCAGTGAACATAGTTGTCCAACTAGATACCATACTCCTTCTGTGGGCATATAACACCATCAAGTTTTTTCTAATCGCCTCCCACATGCATATAGGACCCATATCCCTCTCTTCTATAATCACATTGTTCCAACTCTCCACCAATTGCTCGTATGGATCTTAGAGTTTCAGAGGGTTTGATAATGTGACCTTTTCCAATGGTAGAATGCCTTGTCCATCAACCAATCATAGGCTGCCTTGTTGTACTCTGATAGGGCTTGCATTTGGGGCGAAATTCAAGAACTGTTTCCGCTCTAACTGCTGCCCAGAAGAGGTTCTTCATGTGTTGGGACCCCCCACATACACTATTGAAGTTGGTCCACAAGTTCCTTGTACAATACCTCTTCTCACAGGTTGGGAAGAGTCCATCAAGAGCTAGCACTAGTCCCTAAAACACCAATAACACACATCTCATAATCTGGAAATATTATAATTGTAAGCCCAAAAACAAGATATCAATCAAGAGAAAGCATACCTTTTGATTGTCGGACATGAAAGTCCCTCGGGATTGTCCATGACCTCCAAGTCACTAGAGATGAGCTCCAAGAACCATTCTCAATTCTCTTTATTCTCCACAGGTACATGACCAAAGGCTACTGGAAAGTACGGGTCATTAACATCAATACCCACACTAAAAGCAGTTAACCTCCATACTGATGCTTCAAAAAACATCCATCTATAACCAAGACATGCCTGCAACCAACCTTGAAACCCAGTTTTGAAGCCCGGAAACACACATACATCCGGTCAAAGTGCTAGTTTCTCTACTCTATGATCACTGTAGAACATGGGTTGCTCCTCCTCAATTCCTCAGCATAATGGTATAGCCCTCAGAATTGCTCTCCAAAACTGCCCCCTAACCTGATCAAGAGCAGCCCTTCGAATCCTCCATGCCTTTGAATCCAATACATCTTCCTTAAAGTCTTCATTGCAGATTTGTTTGAGCAACCCTTTGCTCATATTCTTGTCTGCTGCCATCTTCCAAGCAAGTTTCTCACCAAGAAACTTGGCAGTTGCAAACTTGACCTTAAAAGTCCTCCGGCAATCTAGAATGTTGTAGCTTGCTCTTCTTGATCTGGACTACATCTGTAACACTCATCTTGGAGGCCCATATATACCAATCACATGGATCACCGCATACTACTTGAAGCCTCCTCTTGTCGTTCTTCTTGAAACGAATAGGGTGCTTTTCCACTAAGACATGTTTTATGGCCTCTTTCAGCCTCGTCGAAATTGCCAAATCTTTGCGAAACAACGAAAGTAGGGCTCTCCATGTCTCTCTCAGCTAGAAACTCTAGTGTCTGATGACTGTCCTCATCTTCATCTGAGCTATAAATTGTCTTTCGGACATCTGAGTCGACATCTGAAACCTCTTCTGCCTCTATGATAGTCTTCTTGCACTTCTCAATTTCATCTTCTTCGCTGTAGAAATTAGCTTCAACATCTGCAGCTACGCTTCTCTCAAATTGCAGATTGTCATCTCTGCTAAAGTCCTCCTCCTCTTCACTAGCCTCATAGTCCCTGTCATCTTCTTCCTCAATGCAGTCAAAAGCGCGATTCTACGTAGAAGTGGAAAATGGCTAAAATCGTAAAGCGTAGAATCAACCCGTAAAAGCGTAAGTTTTTGACGTATACTAAAAAATAACTAAAAATCTATTAAGTAGGGCATATACTATGTAAAATATGAATGCACAAAATTTAGATAAGTTAATAAATACATGCAATTCATGCCTAAAGTAGAGCAACTTATAGCATCTTAATAATATGTTCGTAAACATAATTTTAACAATAAGCCACTTTTTCTTCTATGCTAATGAGTTCGGGAAGAGCCTAGCTGGTGAATTAGATTACTCTATTGAAATTGAGAATGCATCCAAGTACTATCTTTTCATCTCAAATGCATTAAATTGTTGGTGATTTACTTTTAAAATATACTTTTTATAATTAATTTCATGAAAAGAATACTCATTTAGTGAACTAAAAGCGTAAAAGCGTAAAGCGTTTTGGTGAACTAGAAGCGTAAAAGCGTAATTTAGTCCAATTTTATACACTTAAGTTTTTATATGGAAACGAAAGCGTTTTGGTGACCTAAAAGCGTAAAATCGTAAGTTTTTAAGTTTTAAAACGCGATTTTGACTGCATTGAATCTTCCTCATAGTCAGCATCATCACCTGATTCACGAACAACAACTTCTTTACCCTTTTTACCTTTGGTGGCAGCTCCATCTTCTTCCTCATCACTGTCCATGAACTCAGCAATATCTTCCTCAGAGATGACATATAGTTCGATGACCCTCGCTTGTTCATTTGAACTTGTTGACATGGCGAGTATATCTTCATCTGAAGTGATCTGTGACATAGCATCAGTTGAAGCAGAGCTCCAGAAGAACTTCGGCTTATCAATCTTCCCTCCACATGCCTTGTATATGTCAGGAAGATCAAGTGTTGATAACTCATCAATAGCCGCATAGTCCCAGTAGACTGTAGACTTCTCATTGAGGAAATGCTTTCCACCCTTCCTCTTCAATGCTTCTGATAAGTGCACTTCATTTGTGAACTCTCCACTAGAAGCACCTGTTGCAAAAGAAAAAA